CCGGCCCAATAATTAATTAATCCAATTAATTAAACCCGGTCCGTAAATTAATTAATCCAATTAATTAATTCGGGAATATAAATAACAAATCCAATTAATTAATTTATCTAACTATTGTTAAATTAACCAATTGGTAATTTGCAATCTTCCAATTCTCTTTTGTGTGCGACCCATTAGGTTCCGAACCACAATGCCTAACGACGTGAAATATTATTTTGATCTAATCAAAATTGATAAATTAAAACACCCTTTTAATTTATCGTCAATTCACACTCGCCGTCCTTGATTGACATCTAACAATGTGTCAGGCTAATACATGTGACGGGAAATGTCACGTGGTATGACAAAACCAAATTCGTTCGTTTACCGTGAAACTATAATCCCTTCGTCAATATGATCCGATCAATTACGAGATATGGAATTGTGTCAATCCCGAATATCGATCATATCTTTCACTCCACTATTAAGTCAATATAAGTAGAAAACTCATTTTCGACTTATGAGTACACCTTGGCCAAGAATTTCGTTATCGACTTAATTGAATGAAACGCAGATCATAATCTCCTACTATTTAAGAGTGACGAATCTTTCATTGGTCAATCATAACCTTCATACGATTCTTGACGTACCCGAACGATGTCGTATTAGCGGCCCTTTGCAGAGCAACATCCAATACCGCCAAAGTATGACTGTCCTCATATAAGGTACCATGACGACCTCAAGTCTAAGGATCAATTCCACTAACGAACGTTAGAGATTAACCACTGACACTCAAATAGTTATCCATATGGAATCTCTCGGTGGGTCTCCAATGTTTTGTTCTATAACAAAACATCCACGTGTCATTTAAGTGTCACCACACTTTAACTTCTGAGATTAGCTACTTACTTCACAAGTAAGAAATGTCACACGTGATGGTCTATCCGTAATAACGATATTCGTATCTCGTTATTACTTACGACCACGGACGATTTAAGATTCAATCAGATGTAATTTGTATCTCACAATCACAACTCCTTATGATTAACAAATTACGGAGATTTGAATCTACGGACTCTATTATTTATTTAATTGTCTATTAATTAAATAAAAGATCCGTCATTTAATTGCATTAATTATATATCAAAAGTATTTATATCCAACGTTGATTGGATTTAGGGCATAATACTTACATATGTAAGCTGGCCAACAAGGGCTATTTTTAAGAAGAGAAAAGAAAGAAAAATATTTGAAAAGAAAAATTTGTAGGAGTATACAAGTGCAGGAATCGTCGGTTTAAATCTGTAGACCGTAGGGGAGGGGTACTTTTCTTTCTTTAACGGTTATGTCCTCGCATTTTCACATTAAGAAAATATTCGACTACGTAATTTATTTATGTTATTGTCATAGTCCGCACGGGGCACAAACTCTTCCTTAATTAGCCCTTCCTTGATTTTGATAAAATTTAAAATTTTTTAGCAAATTTTGATAAAAATTGATCATAAAACATATGGTTAAAAAGTTGATAAAAGTCGTGGTTTCATGAAATATATGAGTAAAATTAACTTATTTGACTTACATCTTTATCAACTTTTTTAGTTAAACCAAGCATGAACTTAATCAATTGAAATTATGAGGTTCCAAAAGTTCAATTGTTGCTTTGCAGTGGCCACATCAAATTAGAATAAAGCCACTTGTACGCTCTTTTTATACATCATTGTGCACATCATCTGAGTTGGCAACACGTGATTGATGGAAAGTCTTTTTTTAAAAAAAAATTGTCAAATCGAAGCTTAACACGTGGTAGAGTGTACACAAAATTGTACACTATGATTTACATGAAGCATTGTTGCGTCCAATAATTCTAATATTTGTAAATGGTTTTTGGCACTTTCAAATTGTACAGTGCACCAGTATCTCAGTCTCCTGCAATAGTTCAGACACAACAAAACATCATCGTCAATCAACGAAGGATAGACAAATTTGATGGGGGTATAGGACAAACATTGGACTATAATATCATGATTTGTCTTATGGTTTTTGCAAAATTTATCTATTCCACAAAAAATATAAAATATATTAATGGCGAATCTGACAAAACTTTTGAATTTTCAGCGATTTTGATAAAATTTGATAAAATGTATGGTTAAAAAGTTGAAAAAGTTGTTCGCCGCCATGAAATGCGTGGTAAAAAAAGTTTGATTAATTGAAAAGTTGATAAAAAAAAAATTAATAAACATTTTATTAAACAAGAACTAAATTTGAAACTAAAATGGGTAGTTTTAAATTTTAATTCGAAATTAAGGGTTTGATCAATAATAGAAGTTAACGGGTCAATAAATCAAAAGATTGAATAAAAATGTTGAAAGAATTAACTTACGTATTATGACTTTCCATCTTGAGAAATCTTCGATCTCAATATCCTTCTCCACCTGCAAGAAATGAAACCATGAAATTACATTTTAAAACGATACAAAAATGTTATTAAAAAGAAGGATAAAACACACGGCGTACATAGAAATGGTAATGAAATATAAAATATAATAAAAACCACATCCTACACAATCAAATGATAATAAAACTAAGTTAATTTATGTTGTTGGTGTAATCATCGCTTTAGAATTATCCTTGATGGTATGTTGCAATTGAGAAACATCAGTGTACAATATGGAGACGAATACTATATGATAGTCTATGAAAATTTCGTATTAATTCAAGAATATCAAACGAAAAGAATTAGAAGAAATTCAAGAAAACGTAACTCACCATCAAATTGTTCGACGCGGAAATGAAATTAGGCTAACATTTCCATTAATTGCCATGCGGATCAACAAAAAATGGATCCCTTTTTACAGTCGCATCGATCTTACATCATATAAATTTATATTCTTATAATATTGATGATAATTTCTCTATTACTTTTCCTCAGGCAACTCCAAATTTTGCTACTATTGCCAATGGTTCCCATTGTGGATAAGATAAACCTGCCCATTATTGTTCCCGTGTACATGACGATAAGCATACTTAGGAAGCTGTCCCACGGTGGCTCCACCCTTACACGGCGGATATACAGGCAGCCTCGAGACATATCGAATGGAAAGCCGGGTATTCGATGCTGGACATCTTGGAGGCAAGGTGGCAGCGGTGGGGGAATGAAATGAGTTGGGTGACACAGCGTCGTTGCTAGAGGACGAGGAGAACGACGAGGATGAGGAGGCGGTGGAGTGTGGTGGCGACACTTTTTTGGTGGGTTTCGAGGTTGAAAGGAAGGCCCTGATCTTGATGGACGCAGGCGGCGCGGCCGTGGCTTTATCGTATTCCTCAATGAGATTGGCTAAATCCTCATCGGAGGTGATTGATACTAGTACATCTAAGTCCTCTGTTGGCAACTGACACCTTAAACTCATCGAAGATGTTCCACACATCTCCCCAAGCTTCACCACCAGCTCTGTAAACACCACGCGACACCAAAATATATACATCTTAGTCCCATGTATATACTTCTAACATAAGAATACATATACATGGTTCTTGTTTAAATTTTTAGACAAGACGGTTTACTTAGTATTGAAGTCGGGAAAAGGCCTGGGTTCAAATTTGGGTGCTCAAAATAAAATTTGTATTGAACATCAAGAAATATATTGAAATAAATACTCGTTAAATCCTTTGTGACACTTCACTATTATGTGATATGGTTAACTAAACGAAAGGGAAAATTAACTAACCAGCATAGGAAATTGAGCGTTTCGCAGAAAGAACACGAGTTTCTCCACCGTGGTAACGAAGCTTGCCATCAGGATAACGGGGGATGATTCGGCCTCCGTAGCTACACAAGAACTTAATGGTGGTGGTAGGTTTTAAGGTATTAAAGGAAGGTCCTACCATGGTTTTCTTTTGGATGGTCCAATAAATTTACTTTTTGGATTATAAAGAAGAAGGATGCCAAAGAAGAGGAAGAATATGTTCAAAGTGGCCTCTTTAAGCCAGTAATGTACCCTTAAAACACTTATTTATAGAGGAGGCTAATATCAAGATCAGGTAAGCTAGATAAGATTCTCAAGCTCTTGGACCCACCCCCAACCCTCAAGGTTAATTATGAGGTTGATTTTACTCCAACCATGCATGACGAGGTGTAACTTACGTGGTATTGATGAGGACTTGGAAGTTACATTATCTAAAAGATACTTCTTTTACTTTCTTGTTGCATCTAATATGAGATAACAAACAAATATTTTTTAGTGTCGATTTGTACATCTAATTCAAGTGATGATCCCACTAAACTCTTTAAATTAAGAGTATCTGTTAATATCCTTGTCACACTAAGTTTGAAAATTCTAGATTTACATGTTCAGATGATATAGAGTGCTTAAGTTTTTCCAATAGTCTTAAAAAGGATGTTCCAATTAATCATCATGTTTGACACTTTTTGACTTCGACACGTTCCAAAATAATTAAAGTATTTTGAATTTTTTATTGACACGGATAAAAAAAAAAAGTCATGAAAATCGACATAAATTATCACTAGAAGTAAATTAACTCAAGTGATTTATTATTTCAAAATTTTGAGTAACTTTATGTGAGTTTCAAGAGATTGATATGTAACCATAATTTCTTATTTATAAATATACATATCTTAATTCTAATCACTCTATCAAATTAGACAAATGACATGAATTAAATTTCAAGCGGGACCCTTCAGGAATTTTATGCAATGAAAAGCAAATCTCTAAATAGAGGTTTCGTCCTAAAATTGAATTAGGGGACCTGTTTTGAGGATTACTTCTTAAATGTCCAAGTAATATCCATATTTATTGTCCTTTCCAATAATCCAAGAATATTGACCCATTCTTGGGTCCACATGGGTCCCACTTGAACATGCAATTTGTTTATTTGGGTCCCACTTTGTGGAGCCAATGACGGCATATCTAAACTTGTAGTTGGGTCCTTTTGCCATTTTCTTCATCATTTTCATCATTTATCTAAGGGGAAAGCATATCCACCTTATATCCTTATCCTTTTGAATATTGAAATGAGTGGAGATACATGCATGATTCTTTAGCTTATTCTACATGCATGTTGCGGCTAGAGTAGATACATGGGGCATTGTAAATTTATTTCAAGAATTATAATATTATGAGAATATTTACTCAATTAATCTCGATTATTACGCGTAAAGTTTACTTTCATTTAACGTTGAAAGTAAAATCAATTAATTTTGGACTTGGTACAACAGAACAAGAAGGTACCATTGTTCTTTAAAGTCAAAGTCTAATAAAAAAATTTTAGATCAATGTCTGACATCAAATCTTACTTAAATATTGTTGTGAGAGTCATGCATGACTTTGAGAGTCTAAACAAATGTGAACTTGAAGTTATAGATTGTCGTACAACATTAGAATTGTGGATTATTTGAAATGTTGGTAGATG